TGTGGGTTTTTTTGTGGTAAAGTATACATAACAAAATTTGCCGTTTTAACCATTTCCAAGCATATAATCTAGTGGCATTGATCACACTCACAGTTTGTACAACCATCACCACTAGTGTTTGTTTTGAAAACTTTTCATCACCCCAAACAGAAACTCTATACCTAGTGAGCAGTAACTCCCCATTCCCCCTCCTCCCAGTAACCTTTCTGGTAAGTGTGATCTACTTTATGTCTATGCGTTTGTTTATTCTTGATATTTCATAAATGGGATCATGTATTTGTCTTTTTGTGTCTGGCTTATTTCATTTAGCATAATGTCTTCAAGTCTCATCCACATTGTACATGTATTAGAACTTCATTCCTTTTTGTAGTGGAATAATATTTCATTGTATGTATGTACTGCATTTTATTATCCATTTATCTGTTGATGGACACTTGGATGGTTTCCACCTTTTGACTATTAGGAGTAATGATGCAGTGAACTTTGGTGTGTCTGTTTGAATCTCTGCTTTCCGTTCTTTTAGGTATATTCCTAGGAGTGAAATTGCTGGGTCATATGGTATCTTAGTCATCTAGCGCTGCTCTAACAGAAATACCACAGGTGGATGGTTTTAACAAAAAGAAGTTTATTTCCTCACAGTAAAGTAGGCTAAAAGTCCAAATTCAGGGCCTAGCTCCAGGGGAAGGCTTTCTCTCTCTGTCGGCTCTGGAGGAAGGTCCTCGTCATCATCAGTCTTCTCCCAGACTAGGAGCATCTCTGCGCAGGAACCTCAGGTCCATAGGACGTGCTCTGCTCCTGGTGCTTCTTTCTTGGTGGTATGACGTCCCAACTCTCTGCTTGCTTCCCTCTCCTCTCCTTTTATTTCTTGAGAGATAAAAGGTGGTGCAGGCCACACCCCAGGGAAACTCCCTTTACATTGGATCAGGGATGTGACTTGGGTAAGGGTGCTGTCACAATCCCACCCTAATCCTCTTTAACATAAAATTACAATCACAAAATGGAGGCCAGCCATACAGTTCTGGGAATCATAGCCCAGCCAAATTATTACACACATTTTTTGGGGGACATAATTCAAACCATGACATATGGTAATGCTATGTTTAACTTTTTTTTTTTTTTTTTTTAAATTGTACTTTAGGTGAAGGTTTACAAAACAAATAGGTTCTCATTAAAACAGTCAGTACACGTATTGTTTTATGACGCTGGTTAACAATGCCACAACATGTCAACACACTCCCTTCTTGATTTTTTTTTTTTTTT